ATATACTGTTTTGACATCGAAAAACATGAACAATGGGCAATGAATTATGACATAGTGCGTGGTACATATACTAATATGAATGATATTTGTGAGCAATTAAGTAAAGATGTCACCAGTTCACGTCAATCCTTATTCATAAATATTCTTTCTACAAACACAAAAGAAAAAGAAATAAATAAACAAGAAGCTTCATTTATGTATTTTCAATTGTTAACTGAAATCTTAATCGGAATGGAACATGAAGATGATGCAAAAACAAATATGCTTAATCACTGTCGATTACAATATATTGGAAATGAAATCGATTTAAAATATATCGATGAGTTTGATAAGACATATAGTCCAAATGAAGCCATATGGTGGTACACAAGACATTGCTTTTTATTTGAAATATTGAATAAAGCACTTCGAATTCAAGACATTGATCTTCTATTTAAATATCGCTTTTTCTTAACTGATCTTCATAATCAAATAAAACAGTTACATTCAGAGTTTGTTCAATCATTTCCAACAACAATATCGACAATGCACCAAAAACAGTGACTGTGTATCGCGGCCAAGGCATAAATGTAGATGAGCTTGAACACCTAACAAATAATCTTGGAGGGCTTTTATCATTCAACAACTTCTTATCCACAAGTACCAATCCAAAAGTAGCACTCATGTTCCTCCCAACTAGATCGGATCTTCAATCAGTTCTTTTTGAAATAATTGCTGAATATCGTCAAGACACAAAACCATTCTGTAGCATTAATGCCATAAGCAACTATAATGAAGAAGAAGAAGTCCTTTTCTCTATCGGAAGTATATTTCGAATTGAAAAAGTTGATAACCTCAGCAACGGAGTCACGAAGATAAGCTTGACATTGACTACAGACGAGGATGAACAGCTGAAGCAATTAAGACAACACATTCGCATGGAACTCGGAGAAGAGTTAAACCTGAACGCGCTCGGTATACTCATGCTAAACATGGGAGAATATCAGTACGCTCAACAATATTTCACAAAATCAATTCAAAACCAACAGCTAGCACACCTTGATATCCCACAAAACTACAATTATATCGGACTAGTTCATACTAAGAACCGTGAATACGATAAAGCATTAGAGAATTATGAAACGACACCTGAAACTAAACTCAAGTCATTGCCATCCAATCATCCATCATTCGCAACTACATATGATAATATTGGACTAGTTCATGATGAGAAAGGTGAATACGATAAAGCATTCGAGAATTATGAAAGGACACTTGAAATTGAACTCAAGTCATTGCCATCCAATCATGCATCGTTAGCAACCACGTATAATGATATGGGATCAGCTTTATAGGGAGAAGGTGAATACGAGAAAGCATTAGAGAACTATGAAAGGGCACTTGAAATTGAACTCAAGTCATAACAAATATTGATTTTAACTGATAAAAGATCAGTTTATCACAGCACAGACTCAAAACCCCTAAATGGATGTGTAATTTATGTGTATACTCAGTACCAAGAAATCATAAAAATATAAATAGTAGCTTGAGAAATACATTCACACCGCTTAGCCAGCAGAAGCAGTACAGGTATAAGACGAAAAGATGCAAAGTGGTCGGACGGGGCCGCACCGGACCAGAAAAGTTTCAAGATTGGTCGGACCGGGCCTAATAAATTATACGTTTAGTCGGAGCGATCCGGCCTTGGTCCGGAAACTTTCACGATCTGGCCGGACCGGGCCAAAATTTTCGGCCGGTGTGGATCTCTGCACGGTACATCATTCGAATTAGCTTTTCAACCGCTACAAAACTGTATATCTGTTTTTCAAAAGAATAGGATTTTGACTGAGTTATGAATTTTTTAATTTTTCATGAAAATGGCTTAAGATGAGTTATTTTACCTACTACAGGTGTTACTCCCTTCTTGCGCTTCCTTTTGAAAATTAACATTGCCACGAGATTCAGCGTGTTCGACAACCTACATTTTCATGGTTTCAGAAGGTCCCAGAACGAAGAATAGATCAGTCCCAGGACTCTGGAAAAACGTCCGAACCTCCTGAACCAAGCAAACTGAAATCTTTGTTTAGCTCTTGTTTTGTAGAAGACACGTTGATCTATCTATCCATGAGAAAAGGATCGACGGCTTGTTATGTAAAAATTTTAACTTAGATACTGATTTTCCAGAGACTCTCTGGAAAACCAGTTTCACAAATTTGTTCAGAAAAGGTTTCTGCTTACGAAAATATAGATTAAACTGTCCTCTTTCGAATGACGAAAATCACAAGTCTGTACCTTTTATCATCTTTGAGTTTTTCAAAAAATAACTATCAGTCTTATATTTTGGGATAGATAGTAATATTTTACATATACAATATTTTTTATAAAAACTTTGAGAAAAATTGAATTTAAAAATTTATAATTATTAAAAGACTTAAAATTCAATTTTTCTCAAAGCTTTATTCAATTCCAACCTCAATTGCATCCACTCTGTTAAAGTAGCTGCATTACATCATAATGGTTTCAGATTGATTATACTGCTGAGCTGCTTGATCATGTACCCAAATTTCGTACCAAAAGGGATGATTTTCGTCATATTGTCGGCCCATTCTTTCAAATGTTGTACTCTTTCTGTCAACTGTCAGTGCAAACAACTGACACTGCATTAGTTACATTTAATTCTACTACGTTTATAACACCAAATCTTGTACTCCTAGCACAATTTCAAGGGCAAACGAATCAGTTTGCTCAAAATACGGCTCGTTCATTTGCTAGTACGCTAAGTTTAATCAACAATATGACGCAAGCAAATATGTTAGTTTCAGATCTATTGACCGATTCAATATCTACTGTTTATCCACAGTACTATCTGTATCATTATGAATATACATATGATCGACGAGATCAAGAATACAATTCAACTGGCATTGAATGTAATTGCGAAGAAACACCTTGTTGTATTCAACAGGCAGTTGTTTATGATAGCAATAGTGGTAAAAATATTCTATTTCACACGCCAGGTAAGTACGAACATGTTGGGTGAGTGCGCCAACAATCTCTAAATTGAGTTGTTTGCAATACAAAAGTTTTTAATTTATAATCTGAGGTAATTAAATGACTTGTCACTGTTATATACGGTTGATTACAATCCGGTTATTAGTAATAATACATATTCTCAGCGCATCTTTTAATTGATCCATAACAAGATCTCGTGTTCCGTTATATAAGAATAATGCAACTCGTGATTAACATTTTAAGTCAGAATTCATATTAAGCAAACTTGAAAGTATTTATTTGATTTAACCGTTAACTGTTACAGTAACGGTAACGCTTGAATCGTTACCTTTTACTAGTAACGGTAACGCAAAACCGTTGCCAGAGTAACGGGGGTAACGGTTTACCCGCTAATCATCATCGTCAATATCTTCAACATTGCGTATCATAGTATATAATAAAAATCATAGAAATATAATACAGAAAATTTCGGGCTTGTAATTTTCGTTTTCTCACGTGTGTGAGTGAAATGCGTTATATTAAACGTTATTATTTTTTGGTTTTTCTCTTCGATACGGGGCAAGTCGTGTTTATTTTTCGATAAGATTTAAAAGTGTTGTAACGTCATTCTGACTGTATGCTGTTTGTGGTCATATCAATTTAAGTTTTATCGTTTTTTGAAAATTTTCTAATGATGTTTCGTAATCACCGTCTGAGTGAAGAATCTCTCCGATTCTCTGGCACGTTTCAGTTAGTCAGAGATGCATTTTGTACTTGAAGCACAAGAGCTTCTGTGAGATGTTTTAATGTTAATTGAGTTTCGTCTTGTTTAAAATAAACTACGCCTAAATTGTGATATAATTGAGATACATCCTCATGTTTAGCTGATAAATGTACTCTAACTTCAAGTCCTTTTCTTTAATAAACGAAAGCATTCGAATAATCGTCAATATCAGCGTAATATTTTCCTATGTTATTATAAATTATTCCTCGACATTGATGATCGACTGGTAAAGTTGTTAAACAGAGATTTCTAAAGCATTTTGATTTGGCAGCCAGTTTCAACTTGAAAATTTTTGAATTCAGCTTTTTATACTCAGTTCTCGATGGAGGATCAGAAAACACTAGGTTCCGAATTTTAGAAAAACAATAAGTTTTAAAATTTTGTTATTTTTGAAAATTTTACGGTTTTTGCTTATTTTCAAAAACTGGGTATTTCCACCAAAAATTCACCATAGAATGACTTCTTAAAATATGGGATTGTATTTTTCCGATGCAACTCCATGAGCTCTATCCAATCATGCCAAAAAAAGTGGAAATAATTCTTGCCGTAATTTTGAATTACCGGTACCTTAGGCAAACTAAATGATGTTCTCTCTCGCATCGAGACCACAATGAGGACAGCTAAAATATACATTTCGTGATCAGCGTAAAATTCTCTACAAGATAAGCTAGGTCTCGTCTCTTTTCTACGGGGGTCACTCAAATATGTTCCCTCGTTAGTGCTTATGTTGAATAAGTTCTTCTGTTAATACTCTCAATAGGAGCGTAAGATCAGTACTAAAATTGCTGCTAATAATGTTGGGTTCATTTTATTCGTTTATTAGACAGGAATAATTGTTTTCATTTTAACAATATTTTGTCTGTTACAATAACTTGTCTGTTATGCTATAATAGACGATCAGATCTTCTGCTCTAATCAAATTGTATAAGATTGAAGCGAGACTGAGGTGATAAGCCGTTAAGGACTTAAGTTTTACGACTAAAAAATTTCTTTAGACCGGTAAAAACCGGCCGGTCGAACCATTTCAACCGGTCCGGTATGGTCCGGCCGGACCGGTTACAATTTTAATTTGAAGATAATAACAAAAGGAATAATCACACTCGATTGTACTTCACTTGACATTGATTAGATGACGTTTGAGGATGACCTCATAAAATATCACAAAAAATATTTATTCTTGCAAATTTGAGACAGCTTTAGTAAATCTTTTTGTGCTATTTCAGCCTTTTATACGGCTATTTTCAAACGTCATTCAATCAACGTTAACTCAAATACAATCGAGTGTTATTATTCCTTTTACTTATTTTATATTACTTATTTTATTAAAATAAAATACTTGAAAAAAATCGTTACTTGAATACGATCAATCTCTTGCAGATGTTGTTTACAATCTAATGAATCACGTTAGTTTCCAGCTGGCGCTGTCCATGACGATCATTGAAATGTATTATATGAGATCGACGTAATTTGCGACAATCACTACTACACGAATCAGAGTAAAAAGTAATTAATGGAAGAAGATAAATGATGCAATTCATTATACAAAATAAAAGAGAATATATTGCTTTAGAAAAGATCTTTCGAAGTGCCCAAATAAATAAATATATTTAAGGTGTATTTTTCTAAGAAAATATATTTTCTGTTCACATTGTACGATAAAGAGGATATTTACCTTCAGAAAGAATGTTACATGTATACTTAAGGTAAGTTAAATGTTCTTATTCTTATTCGATTATATTCTTACTGGGATATGCGCACCCATACTGAATGATTGTCTCAGAGATCTTGAAATACATATGCGTTTTTTCTCTACACGTGTCAATAGACATAGGTAAAACTTGTCTTATACATAGTCTTAATGTCTCTCTCATCGATCATTATCTTGTTAACAGAACCAGTTACAATTACAAAACATCCTGGTCATCGTCCTGGTGATTTGAGAACGTTCAATGCCATCGATCGTCAAGAATTAACTTAAGGTTCTGTCTTTGAGCATCATTGAATATATTGCGCTTAGTCTTCGAATATCAATACGACAATCGTATTCATATTCCGAATATTTCTGCGTACTGAAAACAAGGACGAAAAATCTTTAAAATTAAATATTTTGTGTTCTAAACTGAACGATAGCAAGAAGTTCGACTTTTTGGACATAATATAGAATGACGGTATTAAAGTCTTTAATACTATTTTCTCTAATTGTTTTATTAATTTAAAGACATATCACCGGATCGAAAAATTTCAAAAGCTTGTTCGGTCGAAACCGATTGCAGATTCGTTTTCTCCATGGTTGATTATGTGGTACGCA